AAACTCTCACCCTGCCTGGCAGTTTTCAGACAAAAAGGGGTCCAGAAGGACTCCTTTGCTCCCAACAGTGAGTACGGGCACCTCCTTCCACTGGCTTTACTCTGCCATCAGTTTTTGGGCTCACTAGAGTCCAGGAGAACCTCTGCTTGCTTCCAGAGGGACAGATCCCTCCAAACACAGGGCTTTGCTCAGTGACTCTCCAAGAGTTCTCCTCTCACTTGCCTTTCAACACCTTCCCATGCACTCTCTCCATTTTTTAACAGAAGGTCCTGTGCTCCGAATCAATCCCCTTGCTTTCCAGAACTCACCAGTCATGACCTGGGGGGGATGGATGGATGGACTAGCAGTGAGCCTGTTTGCAGCTGAAAAGATTGCAGAGAGAGATTCAGCTGTTGAAGAAAAGGGTCCTCTCACTCACACACAGAGGCATACACATATTTCTCATGCTTTTCTGGGCTATACAATTAATTAAAATTTAGAGGTAGTCACCTTCTTTCCAAGCAGCCTTTGAGCTCAAAACTCAAAACCCCTTTAAAACCCTTGTTCCAAATGGCCAAAGCCTGGGAAAACCCCACCCACAGACTCAATGGGTCCCTGCTGGCAAGGGAGGGTTACCCAAGCCAGGTCCGTTGGTCAGGTTAGCTTGGAGTCCCATCTGGGGTGCCAAACTGTTGAAAGAAATATCCATCTAGGTTCAGTTCCAAGTGGAGAGAAAGACACTGGAAAAATGGAGGCTGATTGGAAAGATGGCTTATTGATGAACAGGACCACATGGGTTTGATGTTCTGGGGAAGCTGAACCCATGAAGTGGAGTGTGGGTGTTATTTATACCCTCTCTTGGGCTTTGAACTTGAATTTCCTATTCTTGTGGCAAGGAATGTATTTTATTAGTTGCAGTCAGACTCCCATGTGGAGTCATGTTTGTCTGAATCAAGTTTGGTGGAACCTTGCTGGGTGATGTAATGAAGGGGCTTGGTTATGATATGTTGTGAGCTCTGCTGATAGATAAACCTGTTACGTCCTGGAGGGTCATGTCTTAATCCCATCACCCTGGAGCTGAGGACTTTTGTTTTGTAGATAGGCTGGCCTAGTCTTAATGTGCATCAAGTATCTGTTGGGGACAGGAAGCTGCAGGAAGCTGCTCTTTGTCTTTAAAAAAACTGTTTCTCATTTTCTCATCCAGGGAAATATAATATTCTGCCTTTTTAATATTTCCTAAAATATTTCATTCTTCTAAAAGGGGTGGGTGCTAACTTTCTTCACACTTAAAGAAGGCTCTTTGTGTGTGTCTCTGTTTGTGCATTTGTGTGTTTGTTTGTGTGTATGTGTGTATTCCAAACAGCAAAATGGTAGGTCTTGCATGGTGATCAAGGACTTGCTCACTTTACATGTACAGTAATTTGACATGCATATACAAAAGAGAGCGAGCTTTGATCATGACACTGTATCCACTATCCCATATAAATACTTCAGTACTCATCATCAGTTGGTTCAGGGAGGCATGATAAGGAATAATACAGTGAGTCACAAGGCAACCAACACTGACAAGTCTAGCTTGTGCATTGAGTACCAAGCAAACAATGAGTACCAGGACAAAATTTTAATGGCAAAATGTATTGAGTACCAAATTCAATGAGTTTCAAAACACTTGAGTGTCAAGGTACCGCTGTAATCCTTTATTTTGATAATGATTTATTTAAAGGATAGAAATATGAGAAATATAGAACTCCTGGTGCTAAGTAAGTATCCTATATCCATGTGCAACTGAAAAAGAGATATTAATAAACAAGTAGAAAGAAATAGGTGGAGATTTTGAGATATGATTTACAAAAATAATTGCACATTATTTTGACAGTTATTATACATTTGCTGTTGACTCCTTTTATTTCAATTGTCAATAAAAGGTTATTAAGAATAAAAACCAATATTTACCAGAGTTAAAGTACAACTAAATCTTGGGAAAACTCCAGATTTAAGAGTTATTCCTTCTGTATTAATTAAATCTGATGCTAATGATTAATACTGCATGCTTCACTTTTCATTATATTGATAAATCAAAGCAACTCTCTTTTCTAAGGCCAAATTATATAGAGAGCCAAGGTTCAAGTAATGTGAGGCATTCTGCCTGACACATTTTCATCTCAAGCTTCAAAGACTGGTCTTTAAATAACTAGTCTATATGTCATGTAAATGCATCAGTGGAACGGGACAGGGATGGATTGAAATAAGAGAGATATTAAACAAGAGTGATCAATTTTTCTTGCCTCCAAAAAGTTCTGTTTATCTTTATTATTGGCAGAAACCAATATGGTGACCAGTTGAATCCCAAAATTAAGTTCTATTCTGCTGCAAATAAGAAAAAGGTAATAGGTATTAAAGGAGGCTGAGTTGTTTGGAATTCAATTTTATTATTTAAAGGAGATCTATTCATGAATGGTCAGTTATGGAATATTAATGTATCCCTGTGAAAGTATTTTAGATGTGCAATTTTTGCCTTAACCTTATTCACCACAAGCCCCTCCATGCAGCGCAGCTTCCATTTCCAAGCATTTGGACAATTGGGCAGCGCATTCATCTTTACTCTCTTCTATTGCCCATAATATGCTAGGAAGAGAAAGGAAGTCAAGCCCAGCTCCTGTGCAAACAAAATAATTGCAGATGGGCCTTTTCAGCTAACTACAATGTCTTAAACTCACAAAATCCCTTTACCCTCTAGTTTTAAGTTTCTGGATGTTACCATAAAAGAGGACCTGACCTGGGGTGCTCACTTTGCAGCCCTGGTCAAAAGGGCCCAGCAGAGATTATACCACCTGAGACTTCTCAAGGAACAAAAACTGAATGAGAAACTGCTGGTGACCTTCTACTGCTGCACCATACTGCACCTCTGTGTGGTTTGCCAATTGCACAGTGGCAGATAGGAAAGCACTCCAGAGGGTTAACGTCATTGCCCAGAAGATCATTGGCTGCCCTCTCCCCACTTTGGAAGAGCTTTATAGCTCCGCTGCCTTAAGAAAGTTCGAAACATTCTCAAAGATCCATCTCATGCTGGGCATCCTTTTTTTTTTAACTATTACTATCTGGCAGATGGTACAGAATAATAAAAAGAAGCACATATAGGCTGAAAAACAGCTTCTACCCCAGGGCAGTAGCTCTCTTGAATTTTACTGTATAGTGCAGTGTTGGAGGTTTTCAGTTCAACGTGTGGAGTGTGAAGGATGTGTGTTTGTGTTTATTTTCATGGTCATGATGTACACTGAAGATGGTGTTTGATTTTGTTGTACGGGGTGCAATGACAATAAAGAAAATTAAACCCTACTATACACAAATCAATGGGGTGGGGTGGGGTGGGCTGTGGTGGTGAGGAGGAATCCACTGGCCATTTCCTGAAAAAAATTGGGCTAGTGATATGAGAAGCAATCTGCTTATCTTTTAAAATGTTTGGCATAAGCATCAATATTTATTATTAATATACTTAAAATCTATTTTAGCCTATAAATCAATTTAACAGTCAGTGAAATTTACTTTTGAGTAGACATGCACTGCACACAGCAGGTGGCAGCACTTTACTAATCTTGAACAATTTAAGCAGAAATAAACCTTGTTAGCCCTTGGATGGGAAACCACCTGGAAATCACCAGGTATAAATTAAACTGGGAAGTTGAAAATCCATTCTATAAGGAGATAATGGCAAACCTCTTGTTAAGAAAATTTCAAGGAAGACATTAATTCAAGCATGGGTAAGATTACAAAAAGGCCTTTGAATTTGTGTTATAATCTCAAGTTCTCAGCAACCAAGCACAAGAAACAGTGAACAGGAAGGTCCTTCTGAATATATGGAAAATGCCCTTCCTTGAGTTGGCCACAGAAGTCCTCACTCCCAACTGGGGGAAACTTGAAATTTGGGACAGAACAAGATCACATGTATCTGAAGAGCTCTGGCTCTGAGACATCTTATAATACTGTACTATACTTGGATTAGAGATCTTGGTTTATTTCAAGTTTGAAGGCTAAAACTGATTTAAGACCATATGCTTAACCTTGGATTAAATCAAATCAAATCAAATGTTTATTATCAATGTACAACATGTGTACAATGAAATTGGAATGAGCCTCCCCTGGTGAAGGTATTAACTAATATTTTACTAAATTAACCCAATATTTGCATTTGGCAACACTAAAATATAAACTGAGGGTAGCTACAGGGTTTCACATAACATAAAGATAAAATCTCCTTCCAAGCTGAGGGCTACTATGGCACATCCATCTATTTTTCTTGGCATCTATATGGGAATAATTTGGCACCTTCTGGGATATACATTATAGATATGCAAAAAAAAAAAAAAAAAAAAACCAACCCTTCCCAATTTTTAGCGTACAGCTTTGCGAATTCCTGGGGTCTCCCATCTCTGTATTTGGTGCATCCAATCACGCTAAGATGTTTGAGATCAGCCAAGGATGGCACAACGTACTGAACCACAATCGCGTTAGCCTAGTGTGTTTGAAGCCCATATTAAAACTATTTTGCAGTGCGATCTCTCCCCCCCCCTCTCTCACACACACTTTTTATTCTATTTCGCTTCCGTGTTACAATTATGTTGAGACAGGCAACATTGGAACTACAGTGCCCAACCAGCAGAGTTTTACAGCAAGGAGCGGTAAAAAGGCCCCCTCCCTCTCCCGAAAGTTTATGCCGTGCCGGCAGCTGTCCCGGGGTCGCGATGGGACTCGTTCCCCCTGCTCCCGTGGCGGAGCGGGGTCTACCCAGGCACCCAGCGCCTCCGCCTGGGAAGAGCCGCCTGAGCTCGGGAGCAAAGAGGCTGCGGGCGTGTTCGGGGACTTGTCCTGTAATCGATTGCCGAGTCAGCTGAGCAGCGCTGCCAAGCCAGGCAACGCGCTTCCCAGATCGCTCTCTCCAGCTCAGAGTGTCTGGGTGAGACAACTGTGATGCCTCTGTGTGTGTGTGTGTGTGAGAGAGAGAGAGAGAGAGAGAGAGAGAGTGAGTGAGTGAGCGCGCGAGCGAGCGTGTGAGTTGCCGGATCGGTTTCTCGGGGTTTGACCAGTTGTCCCAGGCTAACCCTGCTCTCTGAAGATGGAGGAAGTAAAAAACAGGATTACCCTTAGCTACAGATCCACTGCCTTAGTTTCCATAACCAACTGCGGGGCGCAAACACACGATCGCTAAGCCTAGGAAAGAAACCGAGAAAGGAAAAGACTCATTAACAAAACAAACAAACCGGGAGGATGGTGGAATTGTTTCCCTACGCGCATTGCTAAGGTAAATCTTTGTTGGGCTATTTCTTCGGCTCGGCTGGTGGCGGATGGAAAGGAGAAGATTTCTCTCTGGAAAGGCTGCCTGCCGGGCTCTGTCTTCAGTGTCGTCGGGATGCGTTGCTGAATAGGGGTGTGTGTGTGGCTGAGAAGGGCAGGGAGGCGGACAAGGTCTGTCACTGAGTACCACGCAATTATGGAGCATCTCTAATCTCGGGGTCAACAGGACTTGTTGCTTTTTAATCCCCAAATAAAGCTTTAGAATAACATAAGGAGGCGAAAGGGCTAGATTTGCATTTCTGTTCGGAAAACGACCATTTCATGTTGGCCGAGCCATTTCGGTGAATGCGGATTAAAGAATGCCGAAAAGAACAACAACAGAATTTTGATTTCTAGGAGGCTAATCGATTAATTCGTCCCCACTTTTTTTTTTTTTTAATACGGTGGGCTTTTGTTTTCTTAACTGAACTGGGCTTGTCAGTTGCAGTTAAGAGTCTTCAGTCCACGATGCACGAGGATCCCCCCGACGAAATCTCCTCGAATGATAACACAATATTTCGTGGCACGCCACGCCACGCGTTCTGTTTCAAAAATGCAGTGTTTCAATTAATTGACAGCGCGCGGAAAGAAACAGACGCCGGTAAAATTAGGAGCTCGTTTTATTTTGGCTAGGGCCAAAAATAGTGGCCTAGGTTTCTGGATTCTTTTTTCTTCTTCTTCTTCTTCTACTTCAAGTCCGCGATCTACTACTCCTTTCAACTCCCCCCCTTTCTTTTTCTTCTTTCCTCCAAGATTTTCCCCCCTTCCCTCTCGGTTCTTAAGGAACCGGTGGATCAAGTTTTCTCTCATCTGGTTAATCGCACTGCTGTAGCTTTGGCTGACCTCTCTCTCCCTTTTTTTGTTCTTCATCTTTCCTGAAAGTACGTGCCATTCCCAACAAGCCCATCCTGAAGGGGGGTGGGAGGAGAGAGAAGAAGCTTCCTTCTTCATTTTTGCTTTGTTTCCCTTCCGATCCGCTTGCTCTGAATGATCTACCTGTAAGTTTTCTCCATCTTCCCTTGAACCCTGGAGGAGGGAGGGGGGAAATGAGGGAAAAAAAAAAAGGGATCTGACTTATTTCAAAAGGCGCCCCCATCTCGCTGTAGTTCCAGAGTATTGTAATTCCGTCTTTCTCTTCGTTTTTGGTTGGGAGGAGGGGTAGAAGCTGCCATCAGAATTTGGAAATGGTGAACAAACTTTTTTTTAAACCACAGAACTTTTCTTTCTCTCTCCCCCCCCCCCCCTTTCCCCTTTCTCCCCCCCTCTTGGGGGGGATGGTTTTTCTCCCCCCCCCCCCCCCCCCGTGGGCTTTAGGAACTTTTCCCCCTTGTTACCGTGTATGTTACCTGCTGAAGGTGGAAGATAAGGTAATTTTGGAAAGGCATGAGGGGATTGCTCTTATGCTAAAACATTTAGATCTCAAGTATTATTCTTAAAGCCATGTAAACATCAACACGATGGCAGCGTTGCCCGATGAAATCCAAGCATTATACTGAGTATCTTGGGAATTTGATATGTTGTATGCCAAAGAGAAAGGAACGCAGCAGAGAAGTCTTTCTTAAGGAGGGGGATGAGGTAAAGGGAAGTGGTTTAGGAGACAAGAAATGGAGCTGCCTGTTTTCCAGTAAGTAATGGAGAAATTCCAGGAGCTGGAGCTAAATATACTTAGCAATCAATACAGAAATGGTTCATTGTGAATAATTTAACTGCTTGATGTAATAAGAGTTTTGAAACTAAAGGCAAAAGGGAGCCGGGAAACTAGGAGGGAAAATGCAATTTTTTTGCCGGCCATGGTTTTTTCCTTTTAAATTTCACTTTAATATGTTGATTATTTACCTTATTTTATTTCATTTTTATACATACAGTAGATGACGGAGTGTCATCTAATATGGTTATTTGATTTCTAGAAAGTAATAGCGTGCTCCTTGCTAGCAAAGTGCTTCAAAAAAACTTTTGAGACTGCAGTAATGCATGCAATCTGGAACTACTTTAAAAATTGCTCCAGGGTTAAAAACTTAAGCTAGAATAAACTGGTTCCTGTGCAAAAATGTTATATCAGTGTCATGGAAGCATACATTTCCCATTTTTTGTTCAGCATTTTTTTGTTCACACCATAATGGTAAGAAACTTTGTAGCACTGACATTTGACAGTACTTAAAAACCAGTCCAAAAATTCCTACTTGAGATACTCAGATTCCCTGTTGGATTTATTAACAAATATGCTCCTGCCTTTGTGTAGAAGTAGCTGTTGATTGTTAAGTCAGTTAACACATTCCTGACCTAAATAAGATTTATTTAGAATCTGGTTAGTAATTATTTTAGTGTGTGATTCCCCCCTCACCACCTCCACAAGGTTCATTTTGGGAAAAAAGTAAATTAACCTATTCTGATCACTGGGTACTTTCAGAAAGATTCCAGGCAGAAAGCCTTCTGCTATGACAAAAAGGAGAGTTCACTAAGAAACCTAGATCTTTCAAGAGTTGGCAGAGTGAGGGCATCTTTGACCGTCTATTTTTTATTTTATAGCACTGCACTTTGATTATGGAAGTGGAGGCTACTGATGGATACCTGCCCTGTAAGTATCAGTTTAATTTTCCTGTCGTTGTTTGGGCTTTTGCCTTATTGGGCGATGAAGATAATTTTTTTATTATCATATTTTATTTTTTGTTAATTTGGTCATTTCAGTGACACTGTATAGATGTCTTGAAAGGCAGTTGGTAGGCAGCCTATATGGAACATAATCTTTCCCTCTTTGTGTTTCTTTTTTCTTTTTTAAATAAACCATACACTGTATGCAAAGGAACTGAGTGTGAAATTGAAGGGGTGTGGACATTTCTTTGGCCTTGTCCCAAGACCATAATATTAAACCAGTGTTGTTAATGTTGAGCAAGCCAATAAACAGACCTTTTTGCCATACCTTGTAAGCAGTTGTAACCTACACCCTAGCCTTTAATGAATGGAAAAATCTAATAACTTGGGAGCAAAATTACCAGAAACAGTTTTCTCCTGGGTGCAAATAACAGTTTTTCTAAATAAAAACTGACACTTTTTAAAAATATAATAGGTGACCATGACCTTTCACCTGAAAGGGAACACTCCAATGTGGCGATTGACCTTACTTCAAGCACACCCAATGGGCAACATACCTCACCAAGTCACCTGACAAGCAGTAAGTTATATTTTAAAGTGTTTTGCATAATAGATTAATTAATCTTGTTCAGTCTATGAGGTTGGTTTGTATACAAAGAACAGAGGGCAGATTGGTTCTTCATATTAATATATACCTGAATGTGATTGTTAGTCTGAATTACTCCTAATATCAGCGTTCCAGGGAATATCCATTCCGATTAATATCACCCCCCTCCCACTTTCTCAAGCTATATGGCAGCAATGAATTAGGATTCCATATCTGACACCTAAATTGCTAATGAGTTTAATCATGTTTAGTTGAACGTGATAGGAAAACTTAAACTTGTTGGAAGTTGGGTGAGAAGTTCTTTTGTAATGCATACATGGCTACAGATTAGTTCCAAGCAAAAGATATTTCAAGGTATTCAAGTATTCCAAAAATATATTTGGTGGACTGAATGATTGAAAAAACACACATAAAATGTTCTTTATTCCACCTCCCTTGCCTTTACTTTTTACTTTACTTTTTTACTTTACTTTTCAAAATGAGTTTTATGTTTTTGGATGCTTGCAACACTTTAAATGCTTAAAAAATAAAATATACATTTTCCTTGGCTATTGACATTTATTTACCAGATAGCTTCATTGTTGTTTGAAATGTTAGATATTCATCTGTTCTGGTTTATACAACTGAAAATTTTTATTTTATAACTCTTCCATCTGCCTAATTTTCTTAGCAACATATTTTATGTGATTTCCTCCATTTTTTGTTATTTCACAGGTACTTTTAAAATTCTTTTTTATATCTTTTTTTTACTTGGGACTGTAAATAAATAGTTATATATTATTCCAGATTAAATTCTGCTTCAAATAGAAATGTGCAGTAATTAAATATGATCTTTCTATCATCTCTTTCTGAGAGGGAGCTATAGCACTCGGTCATTTTTTTCTGTCCTTTAGCAAATTATGAGTGAAAAAAAATAGTTTTTATGAGTGTGTGAATTGCAAGATTATTAAAAAGCGCTCAGTTATTTACTTGTTGCTAATGATATGTTATTAGTGTCCTGGATTAAATTTTATGGATTAGTCTCATGAGGAGCATAAATAACATTTAAACTGAGGAGTAGAAGTTTAGATATTATTTATGTTTCTTATGAAACTAGGAAGAGTGGAGTGTATAAGGGACCAATATTTTCTCAGTGGGTTTAATCTGGTTAAATATTCCTAAAATATAATAAAATGTAGAAATAAGTTGATGTAAGAGACAGGAGATTTGATGTATATATTCTAGTTAATCTACTACAGTGTGTATTTTTTGGTGGCCAAAATTGAGATCTGAATAATGAAAACTTTGGTCATTTAGTCTTAACTTGTTGCACCTCCAGGAGTTAATTCTTTCAAATAAATAATAGAACAATTTACCATGAGGCTCCTTTGAAAAGATCAATTGAGAACTACATCCCTTAACATGATCTTAGTTATTTGTATCCCGTTAAAACAAGAAGGAAGCCCATAATAGGCAACTGACTTGGCTTTTTATATACTGTAAATATTGTGTGTACCAGACAGAAGAAAGAAAAAAAAGCTGCTTTTGAAACAAACCATTCTCACCCAACTGTATTAAAATTACATGCTTTGGAGAGAAGTGTTTTTTCCTCATATTTATTAGCCTGTGGCAATTCCAAGTGAGTAAGACTTGGCTATACTATGCATGTTTTTATGTTTCCTTCCAAAAGGTTGCAGGTCAAAAATTTTTGGCACATATTTCACAGATGTCAGCTTCATCTTTTCATTACTGCATCTATTATTACACTTACATAGATTATAGATGAAGCCAAGTTTTCCTCTTTTTAATGAGGATGCTACCTTCTACATTAGATTGGTTCTTGTAATGTATTACATATACTTTAGTGAAAAAATGCTGTGCTTTGAATTATTAATTTGAGTACCTTATTGACAGGTTTGTAATTGAACATTGATGGGAAATATAAATAAGAAACAGGACTTCTCTCTAATTTTGTTTCAGTATCAAATGATGATATAGCCTGTCATGGAACAAAAATTACATTCATTATATACATATTGTATAATGAAATTGTAATGCATGAGTTGTATGAGCATTTGCTATAGCAGATAGGAAAACTCTGGACCATAATTGGTTGAACAATTATGATCAACCAACAGATCAATAAATTGATCAATAAAATAAAAGATACTGATGATACAAAGGATTGGGGACACTTCTTATTTTTGATATTTTTATTCTGACCTTGCTTGTTGCTGTCCCAAGTAGCTGCACTGTCTACCTGTAAAGCTGAGTTGGCTTTGCCCTGGTCTGATCAAGCAGAAAAGATTACTGAGAGTTTTCACCTGTAAGTGATAAGTCCCTTGCTCAGTCGGAGGAAGTAACTGTAGTTAAAGGTTTGTAAGAGATGTTCATAACACACTGATATGTGTAGCTCTTGGCATTTACACATCTACACTCTGTTTCATGCTCAAAACATTTCTAAAAAGCTGAAAACAAACTGTTGGAGAGGCAAGGGGTTTGGGAAGGTTTGCACTTGAAATGGTTCAAAACAAAATGTTTTGCACACCCCTGTAATTTAGTGATCTCAGTCATTTCAGCACAGAGAAAAATACAGCAGCGGATAAAATTTAACACCCTCTGATTTTCTAGTATGTGTTGAAAATCTTTGTATTGTTTTACAGACAACATAGATACTATATATCTTAAACAGTGGTAGAGCCTTCTTCACTTCCTCTTTTACCACTTCTGGTGTTGAGCAAGATGCAGAGTTTTGGCTCTTGCTGTTCTGGCAACCTAAACCATTGTTAATTGATGTTGTATTGTGTCTTTGATGTTGTCTCTATCTTCTTTTGGATCTGCCTCTTGTTCTTCCTCATGGTGGAGTGCCATGTGGTAAATACCAGTCTAGATTTGCACAAATGTTTCCAATTATGTTCTTAGCTGTGGCCCACCAGTTCTGTTCTTGGAGGTATCAGTTCCTTTGGTTTTTGCTATATGCGTCTTCGCTTTCGTAGCAATGATTGGCTTATATTCTTACACATAAAGAAAAAAAATGGATTTGGAACACCAGTCCTTCTATGTCTGCTTTCTATGTATTTTTACATAGAAGAACGTGTGGACTTGGAGTGGTGTTCTTCAAGTATGAATACTCTTTATGGGGATTTGTATTAATATCATCAATCATTTGTAATATGTTGGAAAGGTTTTGCTGTGCTGTCAGTAGTCTATGGCTCAGTTCAAGTCTAAACTGATGCCTGATTCATTTGGTTAACTCAGCCTTCTAAAATTTGGTGATTCTTATCTGTATAGATCTTCAAATCCCATAATGTTTCAGTAATGCTGGGAATTAGGGAAGTTGGTGTCCAACATATCTGAAAAGCATTAGATTGGGTTACACTGGGTTAACTGCATGAAAATGTAAGAGATTATTGCTCTAGGTCTGCTTTGATTTAATAAAGCATTTTTCCAATCAATTGTCTGGCTTTCTGATTCGTGCATCTAAAAAATGTCCAACTAATGAAATGAAGTTTCGACAACTTATATTAATTATTATCTGCTGTTAACAGGGTTTACTTATAAGCTTCTTTCACGTTCACATTTCTTTTGCGAATGTAAATTATAGTAACAGTTTGGATTATTTTAACTGAGGAACATTTTTCCTAAAATGTACAATAAGGGCTTTTTAACTTTAATTGCTGCTTAATTGGTCCCTATTCTGGTGCTCTCATTGAAAAATGATCCTGATGTTGGGAAAGACTGAACGCAAAAAGAGAAGGAGAAGACCGTGAAGTGGCTAGATAGTGTCATTGACACAGTGAACATGAATTTGGGCAAACTCGCGGAGATGGTGGAGGGCAGGCTATCCTGGCATGATGTGCTCCGTAGGGTCACAGAGACTTAGCAACTGAACAACAATATTATGGTGCTCTTTCTGCTATTGAAAGATCCATTATATACAGGTAGTCCTCAATGTACAACAGTTCACTTAGTGACCATTCAAAGTTATAAAAGCACTGAAAAAAGTGATTTATGACCGTTTTTCACACTTACGGTTCTTGCAGTATCTCCATGATCATATAATCAACATTTGGATGTTTGACACTTGACATGTATTTATAAAGATTGCAGTGTCCCAGAGTCATGCAATCACCTTTTGTGACCTTCCCAAAGGCAGAGTCAATGGGAAAGCCAGCTTCACTTAACAACAGTGTTACTTATCAAATGCAGTGACTCAGTTAACAACAGTTCCAAGAAAAATAGTAAAATGGGGCAAAATTTACTTAACAAGTGTCTCACTTAGCAACAGAAATTTGGGGCTCAAGTGTGGGTTATAAGTTGTGGACTACCTGTATACAAAGGTTTTATTTGTGATTTCTTTGTAAGTGTTGCACTCTGGTTCATTAACTTATGGCATACAAAGTATTGAACAAGTGTGTTGTTATTTTTCCACTTTTTCCAGAAAGTGATGAAGAAAAACTTTGGATTTACTTTAAAGTATAATAAGAGTGCTTGCAACTTTAAGGTATCTTTGGAATTAATCTAACAAGCTGAAACTGGGAACTGGCACCAATCTCCTGTGCCATGCATGGCAAAAGTCTTCCATCCCCAAAACAGGCTTAGAACTGAAGATGTTCAACTGGTTAAGAGATTCCATCATTCAGGAAGGAAGACCATGTTTAATCCTGAAAAATGGATCTGATAAAAGCCATACCTACCCCCCACTACCAAGATATTACTATCCTTACCTTCAATAAAAGACATAAAAAATTGAACAAGTAAACACCTGGGTGTTCTGAGGGTGTTGTGTCTTTCCCAAGATAAACCCTAATCTGAAAGTCCCCCAGGTTTTCCCTACCCAAAGGAAAGTCAAAGTCCCTTCCCCTGCACCCACATGTCCATCACATGGTCCAATCTGTCCACAGTCCCAGCTGGAGATGCCTCCCAGTCATGGCTCTCCAGGTGCAGGCTGAATGTCCTTGACTCTCGGAGAAAGGAATGTTGTGACTATCTAT